GGGAAAAGTGGGAGTAGCTGGGGGAGAGTGAGGGAGAGAGAGGGAGTAGCTGGGGTGGAGTGAGGGAGAGAGAGGGAGTAGCTGGGGTGGAGTGAGGGAGAGAGAGGGAGTAGCTGGGGTGGAGTGAGGGGGAGAGGGGGAGTAGCTGGGGTAGAGTGAGGGGGAGAAGGAGAGTAGCTGGGGTGGAGTGAGGGGGAGAGGGGGAGTAGCTGGGGTAGAGTGAGGGAGAGGCAGGGAGTAGCTGGGGTGGAGTGAAGGGGAGGGGGGGAGTAGTTGGAGTGGAGTGAGGCAGAAAGTGGGAGTAGCTGGGGTGGAGTGAGGGGGAGGGGGAGGGTAACTGGGGTGGAGTGAGGGGGAAAGTGGGAGTAGCTGGGGGAGAGTGAGGGAGAGAGAGGGAGTAGCTGGGGTGGAGTGAGGGAGAGAGGGAGTAGCTGGGGTAGAGTGAGGGAGAGAGAGGGAGTAGCTGGGGTGGAGGGAAGGGGAGAGGGGGAGTAGCTGGGGTAGAGTGAGGGGGAGAAGGAGAGTAGCTGGGGTGGAGTGAGGGGGAAAGTGGGAGTAGCTGGGGTGGAGTGAGGGGGAGAGGGGGAGTAGCTGGGGTGGAGTGAAGGGGAGAGGGGGAGTAACTGGAATGGAGAGAGGGGGAGTAGCTGGGGTGGAGTGAAGGGGAGTAGCTGGGGTGAAATGAGGGGGGATGTGGGAGGAGGTGGGCTCCATAGACCATTGTGAGAGGAAGAATTTACTCTGAGATACAGCATGCCACCGGGAGCGTTTTGAACACTAATAACCACAATTTGACTTCCATTTAAAGACCACTGTGATAGCCATACTGAGAATAGTCAGTAGAGGGGAAGGAAGGAAGCAGGAAGCCCAGATAGGGGCTGTTGTAAAAATTCAGACAATTGATGATGGTAACTAGGATCAGACATTACTAGTGGAGGTGGCAAGAAGTGGTTGGATTCTGGATATAGTTTGAAGGAAACCTTGACAGGATTTGCTGATGGATTGGATGTGTGTAAAGAGCATGAGAAAACCTGAAACTGATGTAACATTGTGTGTCAACTATACTCAAAAAAGTTTACCAGGAAGAAAAAAATAAAAGATGTATATGAGAGGGAAGCCAAGATTTTGTCCTGAATGGAAGAATGGAATCACCATTAACTGAGATAGATAAGGCCGGGGAGAGAATGCCCAACAAACTGGAAATGAAAGGGAACTTCCTCGACCTGCTGAAGAGCATCTACAAGAAACCCACAGCTCATATCATGTGGAATGGTAAAAGACTGAATGCTTATCCCCAAAGATCAGGAACAAGACAGGGATGTCCACTCTTGCCATTTCTCTTTCTCTTTCTCTTCCTTCCTTTTCTTCTTCTTCTTCTTTTTTTTTTTTTTTTTTGAGAGAGAGGGGGGCAAGGGGCAGAGGGAGAGGGAGAGAGAGAATCTCACGCAGACTCCCTGCTGAGCACGGAGCCTGATGGGCTCTATCACATGACCCTGAGATCATGACCTGAGCTGAGATCAAGAGTCAAATGCTTAGCTGAGCCACCCAGGCGCCCCCACTCTTGCCATTTCTATTTAGCATTGTAACGGGACATTCTAGCCAAGGCAATTAGGCAATTGCCTAATTGCAACTGATCTTTGGGGATAAGCATTCAGTCTTTTAAGAAAATGAAATAAAAGGCATCCAGGTTAGCAAAGAAGAACTATAACTTAACTCTTTTTGCAGATGATACAATTTTGTATATAGAAAATCCTAAGGAATCTACTAGAAACTATTAGAACTAATAAATGAGTTTAGCAAGATTGTAAGAAACAAGATCAATATACAAAATTCAGTTGTATTTCTGTGCATTAGCAATGAACATTCAGGAAATTAAGAAAATAATTCAATTTAATGCCACGAAACTAGATGAGATCACCTGAAGAGAGAGAAAAAGTCAGGATGGAGAAGAGAAAGGTCTGCGGTCTGAGCTCCAGGTCACCAGTGTTTAAAGGTCAGGGAGATGAGGAGGAGCCAATGAGGCAGCTAGACAACCAAGAGACGGTTGTGTGCTCGGGGCAAATATTTGAGGAAGGAGGAGGTGATCAGCAGTGTGTGATGTGGTGAAGGGGGAGTACGGTGGGGACTCGCAGCTGAGTAAATGGATGAGCCTGGGTGAACAGCAAGAGAGGGAAGGGATGAGAGTGGGAGGGCGGAGGGAAAGGGTCTGTCCAGAAACAATACTTTGGAAAACGGAATGAAAATAGAGCATGGGAAAAATGAATATGCAAGCCCATGTTTTTCCTTGTGAGATTCCACAGACATATTATTATGAAAGTTTGTAAGCCCTTGCTCAATTTCTATACCTGTCTCGTCATAGCCTGTAACAGTTTGCCGAGTGGACTGGTACCCACTCTGTGGGTCCATGGAATCCACTCTGTGCGTCCATGGAATCCACTCTGTGCGTCCATGGAATCCACTCTGTGTTGTGTGGGTCTAGCCCGGGCCAGGCGAGCATGAGCTGTAATTCATTCGGAATGGGTGTGTACAGAATACTCTGCTAGATGGTTTCTTCTTCTTAGAGAGTAAACATTGGTCTTGTACTCGAAGGCTATATATTTCCTTGTTCAGAAAGAATGAGGTCTGAATTTTGGTCCCATATAGTTTATGGTGAGCAAGTGAGAAACCACAAGAAGCCTATTCGGAAGCATTATCCATTTCTATAAATGACTGCTGTCTTCCTCATAATCCTGACATTTGTATGGTATTTTAGTCTGAATTGCTCATTTAAGCTTTATACAACCTTGTGAAGTGGGTGGATTTTTCATCTCTGTGAAGAAATGGGCTCAGAGAGAGGAAACAGCTCCTCCATCCTCATGCTGCTTCAAAGTGATAGAGCCAGGACTGCCCCCTTTAGACCCCCTGCCACCAGACTCGACTGTGGGGTTTCTAGTCCCCTTCCAGATAGGAATTAAATGTCAGCTGTACTTGGATAGTTTACATCCTGCATTATTATGAATTTGCAGGTTGAAGTGGGTGGGTGTGTGGGGGGCTGTGTTCTCAGCATAGCAAGGTAAATAGACTTTGTCTTTCAATGTAAACAGTTTCTGGGTTGCACCATTGTTGCCTTTAAATTCTGATCAGAAGTGCTGTTGGTTTCTAGAAATGCTGCCTCGTAACAGAGTTGTTTCCTCTTTCATAGTGTATGAATTATTTGCGTTCATCAGTCACATGGGAACATCTACAATGAGTGGCCATTATGTTTGCCACATTAAAAAGGAAGGAAGGTGAGTCTTTTTTAGAAGATCAATGATGTTTATGTTTTATTGAGCACCTACTGTGTGCCAGGCTTTCAGGTAGGTGTTGCACATATTACCCCATTTGGTTCTCATGATGGTTTTGTAGGAGTATACTCTCAAAGCCATTTTACACATCAAGACCCTGAGGCTCAGAGAAGCCGAGTAGCGGGAACTTAGCCCGGAAGTAGTCATGTCAGAGCTGGTATTCAAAGCCACTCTCAACCATCGTACCCAGGTGACTTCCCAAAATAGAGATGCATCCTGCAGTAGAATGTGTGTATGTTTGGGACCTCCATAGGGTTGCTGGTTTTAGCCCACAAAACAGGAAAACCAGGTGCCCTATTAAATTTGAATTTCAGGTAAACAATGAATAACTTTTTAGTATAAAGATATCTTAAATATTACATGCAATGTATTTATACTCAAAATTATTTCTCCCTTCCCTGATATATAAACTTGACTGGGTATCCCGTGTTTCATCTGGCTTCCTTAAGCATTCACTGTTTTGCCCTATTGTGGCCTTGCAGTAGGTTTCTTGGCTTCGTAAGTAGAATCGCTATGTGTGTGGCGACCTGGGAGTGAGACACTGATGGGATGTAAGGCTGCTGCTCTCTTCAGGACCTTCTCCTTGGGCTGGATCCCTGCAGAGCCCCCTGGTTTCTCTTCTGTGAGCTCTCCTCCCTGAGCAGCCTGAGGCTCAGCCTCCTACTTGAGGCCGTGCTCAGCCCCGTGGATGCTGGAGAAACCTAGAACCTTGCCCTGTACTGGTGGGATGTTGACCTCTCACACCATGCCACACACTGTGGGAGACACCGGTTCCCACCAGGGACTTGGTTGTGCTCCCTTTTGGTGTGTCTTTTAGTGTTGTCTTCTGAACTTGATTAATGTAATAGTTGAACATAGGCGCTTGATTGATAGGAAATTTTTTTTATTAAGCATGATGCTCTTTTCAAAATACTTTCCTTAAGAAAAGTAGCTTAATTATAATTCAAAAAGCAATAAAATTTATGGTAAGGAGTTTGTAAAATGCAGAAACATAACAAAGAATATGTCATTTGGAAGCCAAAGATAATCATTGTTTATGTTTCAACACATTTCTCTTTTATTATTTGCACTGGGAGAGGATACGCCTGTATACATGTACATGCTACATATAAATGTACATATGCCTTTACAACTTTTCTAAAAGCTTAAAGTATGCACACAGCACAATTTTTTAACCCTTTTCCCATATCATACTGTATTGTGACTATTTTCTCACTTTACCAAATACTCTTTGACGACATTTTAATAGTTGTGTGATAGTTCACTTGCATGGCTCTTTACTTCTTATTTTGACCTAGTTTTATACCTCAGGCTGAAATAAACACTGTCGTACATGATTCTTTGACTTAATTTCTGAGGCCATCTGTGGACTTCTACAAAAGTGGTTTTGAGACCAAAGGGTTTAAAATGTTTGGTGACTCCTTTCGTAACTACCTTTTGATTGAGCTCAAGAATAAAAAAACTGTTGCGATTTCCCACTAGCACTCTCTTTTTATACAGCAGGCTTGAGTTTGGTTATCTTAAAACATCTTGATGAAGTATGGTACAGGAACTTGTTTTCTGCCAAGCTTCCTGGGACTGACTGAAATCCATCGAGTTCTTCTGTCTTTTGTTTTCAGGTGGGTGATCTACAATGACCACAGAGTGTGTGCCTCAGAAAGGCCCCCCAAGGACCTGGGCTACATGTACTTTTACCACAGGGTGCCACGCTGAGCCTCAGACACGCCAGTCGGCGAGAGGAAGCCACACGCCTTTTTAATTTGCCAAAAAAAAAAAAAAAAAGCAGAAGTTGGGACAGCCAGACATGAAGGAATACATGGGGTATTTATAGTTTATTTAAAGAACATCATTTGACGCCTTCTGAAATAGAACTGGGAAGAAATTTCTATTAGTGATGATACACTACTGTAGATAGTTTTTCTTTTTATAAATGTTCAAGGAGAGGATGATTTAAAAAAAAAGTATTTATATTGCTGATGGGGGATCTGCCACTGTCACACCAAAAAATGGGAATGTGCCACCAGCCCTCTATTATGCTTTGGTATGGTGTGGCCTCACCCCCTCCCCCCAATAAACGAAAAGCCTGTTTTTGTTTCATATCGAAAATCAGTAATGGGATGGGCTTTATTTGTGACACAATTTTTTCATTACACACAGTTTCTGACCTAGCCATGTATAGAAGATTAGAGCATCTGCAATGAAAGGTATTTTTAATTTAATCGTATCGAAATTCATGATGTGATTGTGTGAATGCGTGAGGGTGAGACTGTTATCGTCAACCAGGAAATCTGTGCCGGGCTGGTTTTTAAAGGTTAAAGCAGTTGGTATTAAGCATAGCTGGGAAAAGCGAGTAACTATTTTAAAGAAACTATAACTCAGGAACAGTTTTAAAAATTGGCTCCCCACTTAGATTTTCAGGCATAAAAAGGGCTGAGTTGTCCCTTTAAGTGCTGTCAAGAATTCACTGGGGTTTGGGACATTTGGTGGAATAAAGCTGATGCCCACGGCAGCACAATATTGTTCTTTGCCAAAGGTAGATGAATTCTGTTTCTCAGCAGCCCTTCCCACTAAGGCATAGCATGTATTTTTAGTTAAAATAGCTAATCTTACCATAATATGTATCAACTCCTTGGAATCACACAAAGTGCCCCAAATTTGTCTGTAATTTTCTTGTCCCCACGCTCTTTGCCTGCCTCTGTTTCTACATTTTCCTGGGGCTAGAGTCTCCTCTCAGCTCTCTCTTGGCTAATCACCTCCTGACTTCCCTTCGCTGCTTATTTGCTGCGACTGGCAGTGTGATCTCGGGCACCTTAAGGGCCTCAGGTGCAAAGTAACTTTTTATGACCTTATGAAAGACCATCATTTCCATTTTGGTATCTCAGTATTTTTGTTGCAACCTAGGATTAGATCAGAGTTTCAGATGTGATGAAAAAGTGCCACGAGCCTAGTTTATCGTCTTCCTGCAGCTCTGTACCGAATTCCAAGGTCTCTGGAGTTTCTATTTCAGATTGTCCAGTCAAATGAAGAAGGATCTATTGCAATCTGCTTACCAGGCATTTGATTGGTAGAAAAGATCTTTCTAGAAACTGTAGGAAAATTAAGTAGAACTAGCTGGGTAAAATGCCACATGGACGGTGAGTTATGACATGGTGAGTTGTGAAGAGTCAGGATTCCGGTTATGATCAGGGCTCCTCTCCTGGGAGTTCAGCTCCACTGTGTGTGTGAGGGACGCCATGCCCCAGGCCCAGAGCCCGGAGACTTGGGTGCTGCCCCTAACTGGGCAAGTCCCTCATCCTCCCTGTGCCTCACTTTCCTTATCTGCACAATGACACCTGCTCTCTCTTGCCAACTGTGCTTTGAGGATATGGTGAGATTTGATACAATGACTCGTGAAAGAGTATCAGGTGGGGTGCCACGTGGGTCCTAGGAAAGTGTGTTCCCTCCTTCTCTCGTCTGATGCTTTCTTCAATTTGGGAACAAATGCAGTTGGCATAAGGAGGGAGCTCACGATGCAGTAATTCTGTCTCTACTCGGTTGTACCCGCCGGTGTCCTCTTTTAATGTTGATTCACATATCCTAAAGCAGCTCCACTCTGTCACATGAGTCTCGGACTCCTGTAGAAATCTCCACGCTAAGCAGCCTTACAAAATCCAGTCTCCTGAGGGCTGAGTGTCATGGAATAATGACGCCAAACACACATCAAAAATGACTTCTTTTCAACGCTATTACAAAGCGAAGGCCTTCTTCGGGGGTGGGGGGGTGGATATTGGGGATTTGAAGTGAAATGTGGACAAAGATAGCATGTGTATTTTGAACAAAATAAAAATTTTGTAATAAAACTTTGCAAAATGATGTAAAATCAGTATGAGACTATAGGCTATACATTATTTAATTTTGTTAAGTAGAAAAATAAACTTAGCCCTTCCGATGCCTAACATATTGTAAGAAAGTATACTGTGGCTGCCTTTTTTTCCTGCCTCACAAAACAAAGGGCTATTTCTACAAGGCAAAGTTTTGTATATGTGCTATTCTTTATTTCAGATTGAGAGTTGGGGAAAAACTGGAGCAAATAATGGGTTTCTTTCTTGCTTAAAAGTGTATTTATATGTATACCTTAATATATACAAGGCAGGTTTCCCTGGAATAAAAGTCTGGAACATACTGCTTCATTTTACACACATATGTTGATGAGATTACTTGTGACTGAAAACTGGAATAATGTGTGGATTTTGTGAACTGATTATCAGCCTGTGAGGAGTCCTCTGTGTGAGGTGTGGTGGTATAATTGTGAAATTCTCACTGTGTGTGGGTGTACATGGGAAAGAGTGCATTTTTTTTTCCTGTAAATATCTTTTGATATCCATTTGTGTAAAATCCCAATGAATGTGTCTTTGGAAAATGTATCCAAGTTTTATTTTGTCAGTTGATCTAAGTGCCCATATAACTAATCAGAAATCCTGTTTGGTTCAGACTGGGATTTTTTTTTTTTTTAAGGGAAAAAAGCATGCAGAAAGGACTATTGGAAGAATCGTGTTTTAATGCCACTTTACATCCACATTGCTTCGTGTTTTGAATTGACTTGGCTGTTTTCTTTCAACTATAAGAGAATGTGCCTGCCATTGTTCCGCGCTCACTTTGGGCTATGGGAAGCCTATCACAGGTCGCTTGAGCCTGTGACCCCTTTATCCCCACGACCTGAACTGGCCGGAGCCTCACTTGCCCTGGGTTTGGGGTCCGACTTCACCCCAGTGCCCCGGGCCCCTTACCTCTCTGAGCCTTTTTCTTTACAATTAGTGCGTTAGGCTGGATAAGCTCAGAAGTCCCTTCCTGCCCTAACATTCGATTCTATTTTTATTTTCCTGTGGTTACCACTGGGCCAGACATGTGGGGTATGAGGGATCCCAGGGAGATTAGTTGTAATGTGTTGGTTTGTTGCAGTTCATGCACCCCAGCTTATAAGCTGCATCATTTTTAAAAGTGTCCCCACTTCAACCTCTCTGCGCACATTCTTTCTCCCCATTCTTGAAACTCTTCATTTCTCAGTCCATGAGATACCTTGTTTCCATCCCCTTCAGAAATGAGAAATCTATGTAAAACACCTCCCGCGATGAACAACCTCAGACCCACTTTCAGCTAAATCTGTAACATTTATAGAATATTTTCTTACTCTAATTCAGTTATTGCTAGGATCCCCAAATGAGTGCGGAGAAAGTTATCTATCATAGAAAGGATGTCTTTTCCTCTTGTAGGTATCACTGTTGCTAAATCACATCATCTATGTAGCCTTGGGGAGGTGGCAGGTGACGAGCAGGACTAGGGAATAGGATCAGTTGAAATGTGGTTCCACCCTTTACCGAGGTCAGAAATCCTAGGTTACAGAGTAAGATTCTGTATGTACTCTTAATTTGGCATATAAGATCACCTACCCAGTGCCGTGAAGATTCCCTACTCTGTAAATCGTCTTGAAAGAGTGTTTTTAAAAAAATTCTTTGGTTTGTGCTCTTTAGTGCAGTTGTCAGTAGCCACATGTTGCTCATGACCTCTTGAAATTGGGCTTGTCCAAATCGAGATTGTGCTGGTCATGTAAAATACACACCAGATTTTGAAGGCTTGGTACCACAAAAAGGGAATGTGAAATATTTCATCCATATTTTATATTGATTAATGCTGAAATGATAATATTTTAGATAAATAAGGCATTATCAGAATCTCACTTACTCCTTTTTAATATGGTTACCCGAAAATGTAACCCACGTGGCTTGCATTGCTGTATTGGACAGCGCTGCTCTAGACACTAGATGGCGTGGGGTAGGCAGTGAGGTGCCATGTGTGGAAGGTCCTTCTCCCAAGCATCCAGATACACAGAAGCAGCACACATATTTTCGCTGGAGTCGGGAGCACTGTGAGGCACAGAATGCCTCCCAGAAGACAGAAGATTTTTCTGTGTAAAACCAATATGTGTAAGACTCCAATTAAAAAACAAAAGCAAACGAGCCCCCAAACCCTGTCCCTTCAGCTTTGCTTAGAAACTGCTAACTTTGCACTTATTTTTCCGGCATCTTCCATGTGCCAAGGTTGCTGGCAACATGAGGGTGCTGGGCATATTTGCTTCACTTTAGGCAACATTCTCTTGTGGTTTCCCCTCCCCAGGTATTGTTTGGTCTGTTCTGAGCCGGGTGTGTGGACATACGGTATAGATCTTGCTGCTCCTATCAGCCTTGGCAGAGGCTGAGCCTTGTCGCCTGCGCCCACCTGCCCAGCAGGTTTTGATGTTGGCTCCTGAAAGAGTTTGTATTTATTTTATTTTGCACTAGTCATAGTTGTTGTTAAAATATCTCAACTGTTTTGGGAGAGCATTGCCTGTGATGGAAAGAGAGATGGATGATTTATTGCTTCAGTTGTTTTAAAATTAAAAGCTATTCTCACAATCTGAGGTCCCTTTACGGCTCTTTTTTCTTTTGCAAGATGCCAAGTAAACGGATTCTGTCCTTTGCAGGTTCTCATCCATCAGTGGAACAGGTAACTTGAGATAGCGACTAATTTTATTTTGTTTTTAGGGTTTCTTTGTGTGGGCACCAGGGCCGGCTCCTTCCCATCGGTAGTGGAATGTCAGCAGTGGTGCAAGACGTTACTTCTGTGGGGGACGGAGGGACTGCGGCGGGGAAGAGTCTGATGTCTTTCAGACTTTCTCTACTGGATGTCAAGTCGAACATTGGAGTCGATTGGGACCCTTCTGTGGTGCCGTGACTCTCAGTTTGCTGATAGCTTCCCTAACGCAGGTGCAAGAACACTCAATGCTGGTTGCACCAAGGGATTTCAGCATTTCTGTGGCACCGTGTTTGTAGGGTGTATGGGTTTCCTATTGCTGCTGTAACAAATGACCATAAACTTAGTGGCTCAAAAGAGCACATTTATTAGGTGAGAAGTCTGAAAATGGGTCTTACAGAGTTAAAACCTTGGTGTTGGCAAGGAAGCTCCATGTGAGAATCCATTCCTTGCCTTTTCCAGCTTCTGGGGCTATTCTCATTCTTTGGCTTGTGGTCTCCGAACAACAGGGGCATTACTTAGTGTCTGCTCCCACTGTCCTAGGCCTCTGACTGGCTCTCCTGCTCCCTCTTATAAGGATCCTTTTGATTACATTGGTCCCACCCAGGTAGTCCAGAATAATCTTCCCATTTCAGGATCCTTAAATTAATCACATCTGCAATGTTCTCTTTTGCCATGTAAGGTTACACAGTCTCAGGTTTTGGGGATTAGGGTGTGGACATCCTGGAGGAGGCATTATTTTGCCCACCATATAGGGTATGCTTCTTACTACTTAAAACATGTCCATTCAGTACTCAAAATTTTTTAAAGAATCAACCTATGTATTTTTAAAAATCCAAGTAAAATGATGAGCATCAGCATTGTGCCATAATGTTTCGGTGAGAAGAGAAGGAAATGACGGGGATGGGGGATTTCCTGTGACTCAAGAATTAGAAAGTTTTTAGGATGATGTTTGCGAGTCAGCTGCTGCTCACATTCACTGGCTATGCCCCATTGTGCCTAATGGAAGTGTTTACCAGTGTGTGTGTGCACTGTTTGAACCTAAGGTCCTTCTTCTCTGATGTGGTCAGTGACAAACCATTTGTAGTGGGGAAATTTAATAGGAAATAGTGAGTTATTCTCATCCTCATGCAACCAAGTATTTAAAAATTTACTAGGAAAAGTCTTTCGGTGAGGTAGCGGGTAGAGTGATAAAATGGCAAGAGTGGAGGCATAGAGACTTGCCTTCAGATCCTGTTTCAA